CAAGGACTTCTCTTTTTTCCACCTTGTAAAACGAGTGGCACAAGGCACACCCTCTGCCACCTCAGCAGAGTCTAATCCGGGTTTCCCCTCTGTCTAGCAGCAGTCCCAACGACCACCACCTCCTGTTCTCCAAACGCTCTCCCTCTTTGTGCGCCCCGAGCAGACCCAGCCCGGCGGGTGGCACAGCCCTGCACGTGCGGCGTTGGGCATCCACAGGAACGGGAGGGAACCATCGCTCCGGCTGTCGCCGCGGTGCCACGGGGATGGATGCAGTGCTCGGGGATGGAGATCTGGGCGCAGGTTGACCTTCCCCGCGGTGCTGATCAAACCCTTCCCGCTGGCATCAGCAAGGTCGCTTCAGCGCAGCCTTCGGGGGAGAACGAATGATCCTCTTCTTTGGGGATCAATAGGACATTTTGGGAATATCTTCAATTGAAAGGAAAAGCAGCTGATGTTAGACTTGCTCTGAGCAAAAGTTTTCCCTGGCGGGGTTAGGTATATTTAGGGCATCTAACTGCCAGAGAATTATAAAGTGATTTTTATTTTTTTTTCTTCGCCACCAAGTGAGACATAACATCACTCTCCATATTTGTAAATTGCACTGAAATTGGCAAAGTTTGTAATTTGGAGGTTTACAAGTTGTTGCTTTTATATAGTCCATAGTAAACTTTTGAGATAGTCGGTTGAGGTGGCGTGGGGGGTGTCCTGCCCGCCCGCCGTGCTTGTGCCACTTCCACTAACGGCCGCAGGAGCTGCTGCTGTGAACGTGACCTCGTGTGGGATTTGATCTTGCAGGATGCTGAGCACTTCAGATTTGATCTTCGAGTATCTTTTGACTTCAGCAAGTTGATTCATTAGCTTCAAGTTAGGAACACGTTTAAATGATTTGCAGAATTGAACCCAGCCAAAGTGATTTTCAAATTAGGTACATTTCCATGGGTTTTCTTAGGTTTATTGGATTTTTAACAGGTTTGAAGGGATACTGTGGCAGTTGCTGTGACCTACTTCAGAGCAGAGACTGGGTGAGTCTATCCAGTGGCTCTGCACTGATTAACAGTGTCTTTCCAAATCCCTACGCTTCCACCTGAATGTAATTTTCCTGTAAGGAAAAAAAATAAATCAGTGTTAAGTAATTGGAACAAATTCACAGGAAAAGCATCTTTAATGGTGACAGGTGTCTAATTCCTGCTCTCCTCAGGGGGAGGAGGCGGTTTCCGCCCTCACCCTCCTCATCTGAGACAGGCAAATCTCTCTGACCTGGGACAGAACCAGGACTGTGCTCACTGAGAATTTTCAGTGGCCACACGTAGCATTTGATTATGAGTTGTTCCAAAATTAATATATTCTAGCTTTCCTACTGAGCTGGAAGGATTGTCTGAGATGGATTGGGGGATGGAGGATCTTCATATTGGGTGAAAACAAATCTAATTATTTTTTTTTTTTTTTAAACAAAGCCATGTCTATATTTGAAAGCAAAAATGATCACAATGCATTTTCATAACAAAATCTCAATATGCAATGCAGAGCCGCCGGCATGGGAGAGGTGGTTCCCGCTGTGGTGGGGCCACGCGGAGCCGCCGGCGAGGTGAGGGAAGGGGCTTGCTCCAAGCTCCATCTGCCCTGGCCACCGTCCAGGGGCCGGTGGGTGCACTGACCCCCTGGTGCTGCCTCGCTGGCGGGAGACCCCCAAATTGGCAGTGTTGAGGGCGGTTTGGGTGCCCAGCCTGGGGCTGCCGCCCGTGGCGCGAGCAGGGTGGGATGAAACCCGGCGAGCTTTGCCACGGAGCGCTCTGCCACACGGGGAGAGCCGGGGCCGGCAAACCTCTCGCTTTTCCTGGAAGCTGTACAGAAACCCGCGGAGAAATGCCCTGCGCTTGCGTAGCTGTGCGTCCAAACATCTAAAGATTGGAGCGAACAGATCCAGGAAAACACAGGCAGGAGATGAAAGAGAAGAATGCATGATTTGGAAATAAAATGAAGTCATCTTTAATGAAGCACTTCAAAAATAGCTTTGTCACTTTTACCCACAAAGGAAGTTATTGTGATGAAATTACATTATCATCTCGTGCTGGTTTTAAAAACCAAGCTGTGCCTCCTGGGGAAAAGTGACTGTAAAAAGCTCTTTGTTTTTTTCCTTGGAAAAAAAACAATGCTGTGAGGATGTGTGTTTTCAATCAATGGGGGCTCATAACTAATGGATCAGAAAAGTTTAGGAGCCAGCAACAAACTGAAGGCATTAATAACTGTTGCTTTCAAGTCAATGGAATTGATCAGCAAATTCAGTTTATTTCTGAATGATCATTGTAGAAAAGTGGAAAGCAAACCAATATTTAAAGACGTACCTGCAAGCAATAATACATGATTGCAGGCTGTGGCGAGCTGGGTAGCAGAAAAAGGGCTGGATGACATAACGGATCATTCATAATTGTCAACCAAATTGCATAGCTGGTATTGAGCTTTAAAAAATGAACCATAAGAAGCATTTCTTATTGATTTTTGTTTCGTTAGAAACAATATAAGGCTGCCTTAAAGAACTGGGAACAGGCTGCAATTGATTCTCTTTCCTTTTGAGCAAATTCCAGTAGAATTTGAGATTTGATTTTAATTTAGGATTTATTAGTGCTTTTTCATTCTCTTCCACTTCTCTGTTACTATAGGAGAGGTTGGGAGTCGTGGGAGCTGAACTGGAACTTGAGGA